TCAGGAAAACAGGGACGCATGTGACGCCCTCATACGATGGGGTGATTTCCCCAAGGTTAATATTCCAGACAATATTTTCCACAACAGCGCTTACAAAAACTGTCGCCAAACCAATAAGAACAGAGAGAGAGAGAGTACTGTAAACACGCATTAAATGCGAGCTGGTTTAGTTGACGGTAAGACATTGTCGCCTAATCTGCGCAAACCAAACTCAAACTCCTGGACTTGTTTTCCCCCTCTAGGGCATCCAAGAGTATGAACGGAAAAACAGAACAAAACTAACGTAAATTTCTGTTGAATTAACAGAGAAACCTCTGCAGAAACGTTCATCCATCTCAAATCATAGCAGATCATTGCAAGATTGAGCGGAATACAATAGTGTTGAAGGAAGAACCCCTTCCTCGCGTAAAACCGTCAACTCTTACCAAATTCATTGAAGCATAATCAGTTTTGGCGCAAACGAGCTAAACACCAAGCCTGGTGGAATTTATCACTAGGCAGATATTCGCTAAATATACTATCACGAATACATATATATATATATAGGCAGAATGGTATTGCCGACAAAGACCAGGGGAGAATGGAATGGCCATTTCTGGCTTATTAGCCGTCGTCAGCCAGATATACGCAAGCCCGAAGTGTGGAACACCCTAGCCTCGAACTCGCGATCTGTTGGTTTAGAAGTCAACGCCTCTACTCACTGGGCCACGAGCCCGTTGCCTTGTCGGTTTTCGATTGGGAATATACAATGTTAGGGGGCGCTCACCGATCGTTCATACGGAACTCACTCGTTCCCTTGTGCCTTATGGACTCTCTCTCGAGCCCAACCAGCAGCCGTACAGCGGCGCATGATATAGGCAGAATGGTATTGCCGACAAGGAAACGGGCTCGTGGCCCGGTAAGTAGAGGCGTTGACTTCTAAACCAACAGGTCGCGAGTTCGAGGCTCGGGTGTTCCACACTTCGGGCTTGGGTATGGCTGGCTGACGACGGCTAATAAGCCAGAAATGGCCATTCCATTCTCCCCTGGTCTTTGTCGGCAATACCATTCTGCCTATATCATGCTCCGCTGTGCGGCTGCTGGTTGGGCTCGAGAGAGAGTCCATAAGGCACAACGGAACGAGTGAGTTCCGTATGAACGATGGGTGAGCGCCCCCTAACATTGTATATTCCCGATCGAAAACCGACAAGGCAACGGGCTCGTGGCCCGGTGAGTAGAGGCGTTGACTTCTAAACCAACAGGTCGCGCGTTCGAGGCTCGCGTGTTCCACACTTCGGGCTTGGGTATGGCTAGCTGACGACGGCTAATAAGCCAGAAATGGCCATTCCAGTCTGCCCTGTCCTTGTCGGCAAAACCATTCTGCCTATATCATGCTCCGCTGTGCGGCTGCTGGTTGGGCTCGAGAGAGAGTCCATAAGGCACAACGGAACGAGTGAGTTCCGTATGAACGATCGGTGAGCGCCCCCTAACTTTATATATATATATATTTAGGTGAGTAATTTCGGAAATTAATCAGTGCAGAACTTGGAGTTAAATCTCCGGGTCATGACCTTTAATTTCAGAACCGAAATTTCAATGAAAATTCGAGTCGTATACAATCAACTACTTTGGAATAACCACGTAATGCGCATTCTACAAAGAATTAGTACTTCGAATTTTATGATTTTCATATGGTAAAGGTATTATACCGTACTCCCGACCTAGATACTTACCAAAAGCCCAGACACGTGTTTCGCCGATATTCTGCCTGCTGCGTGACACAGCTGCGAGGGGTTCGGCTCTTCAGTGGGACCCCCAGGTTTCTCTAGCTGTTTCTGGTATATGCAATCTGAAGAGTCGAACCCCGCGCAGCTGTGTCACGCAGAGGCAGAATATCGGCGAAACACGTGTCTGGGCTTTTAGCAAGTATCTAGGTCGGGAGTACGGTATAATATCTTAATAATATATATAATTAGATATGTAAAGTTCTTTGGCAAACAACAAACTTTATTGTGTGAATTTTCGAGACTGGTTCTCTAGCTCGTCTTCAGACAACGGGCGTGCAAAAACAATTAACTTATAGACTGAATCTGGCAAAAGGATTCTATGATTGGCAAAGGTCATCATCTCGTGATTGGTTGAGTCAGTTTGAATCCGTCCTTACTGATTTTGTATGGGGCATCTAAATCGATATGCCGGTTGATGCACGCCTCATCTGAGCGCATTGCCTCCAGGAATTCGCGGCCTTTCCTTGTTGAGCAGGCGCCAACAATGCGAGTTTTTTCCCATGCAAACTTTATGCCCAGTGTCCAGTATGTGTATGGCCACCATGGATAGATGATTGTGTCTCTTCACCGCTAACTGATGCTCATGTATGCGGGTTGAGACCGATTTCCCGGTTTGGTCACAATAAACGGCATCACAACTAGAACATGGGACTTTGTAGACAACAACTTTTCTTTCGAGGTAGCCGACCCTGTCCTTAGGGTGAACAAGCTGTGTGCGTAAGGTAGTTGCCGGCTGGTGTGCTACGTGTATCTGGTAATTTTTAAATTGCCTTCGACTAGTTCATACGCATTTTTCACGTATGGGAGAGTTCGCCATGTAGTGTTCGTGTCTGAGAGGCCTTAGCGTTGGAAATACCTTTTTCCTTGAGTTGTTGATGTCTCAGGTATTGCTGTATAAAGTCAAGCGGGTACCCATTTTCGGAAAACAGTTTGTAGATGCATTTCACTTCTGCTCGAGAACTTGTTTCACCAGAGCAGTGAGTTTTGGCTCGATTTAGAAGGCCTTAGACTGTTCTGTGTTTGTGAAAGACAGGGCGGTTACTCTCAAAGTGTAGGATGACTTCTGAATGCGCTTCTTTGCGACAAACTGACGTCTGAATTGATCCGTCGGTTTTTCGCCATATAAGACATCTAAGAATGGGAGTTGTCCATCAACGTCTGTTTCGAAAGTAAATGTAATTCCTGGAAATATGGAGCTTATATTGGTATGGAGCAGATTTAACTGATCTTTCTTGACGATTACAAAATGCTCATCTGCGTATCGCAGCCAAGGTTTCGGGTTGACTGTGGGAAGGGCTTTGCTCTGTAATTTCTGAAGTAATGCCTCTGCTAGGAAACTGGATATGGGTGAACCCATTGGAGAATGAAAAATGTGTCTCCAGACAAAGATCAACGAGTTGAAGTAAAGCCTCTGAAGGCACCTCAGAAGTATATGTTTGAAGGAGTTCTTCTGTGCAGCTTTTCGCAAAATCTAGCGGAATCGAAGTGAAGAGCGAGGCCACATCTTATGACATCATAATCTCGTCACACGTAATTTTGACACTGTTGAATCTGTCTTGAAACTTTTTGAATCCTGAATGGAGTTCTTGGAGTTCTTCGTAAGTGGATGTAGTTGACGGAATAGCCACTTCGACATCTTAAAGTTTGGTGCATCGATTAGGAAGACTATCGATCACAGCGGAATATCAGTTTTATGAATTTAAGGAAGACAATATATCTTGTTGGTTCATCCTCTTTTAAAGACTTGGCAAGAACTCCTGTGATTAATTTCCTACCCGAAAGACATTTCAGTGTTTTTTCAATATGTAAGTTTTGCAATTTTGTGGAGTCGGCAGCTAGAGGTTCGTATGTTGAACATCTTTTAAGAGTGACATCGTTTTTTCTGTGTAGTCTGTTTTGTTCAAAACAGTGATGGCACCTCGTTTGTCGGCAGGTAGATGTCTTCGCCTTGTTTTAGGGCTCTAACGGCTTTCCTTTCACCGTAGGATAGCGTTGAGAACTATTTGGCTCTTAAATGCCTAAACAGTGCTGCTGCGAATGATGAAATGTTCTTCTTTGGTAAGACTCGTTGATGATATGATTGATTCGAAGCTGGCAAGGAAGTTCAAGTAATTGGAGTCAGATGGATTGTACACCATTCCTTTGCACTGCACATTTTCTTCTGTTGTTGTTGTTGTTGCTGGGACCCTAGATGAGAGGTTTACGATTTTCTTTGGAAATGTAGAATAAGTAAAAACTTTATAAGAAATAACTGCCCACACACTGGACACTGGGCAAAAATTTGCATGGGAAAGCATTCGCATTGTTGACGCTTGCCCAACAAGGAAAGACCGCGAATTCCTGGAGGCAATGCACTCAGATGAGGCATGCATCAACCGGCATATCGATTTTGATGCCCCATACAAAATCGTCAAGGACGGATTCAAACGGACTTAACCAGTCCCGAGATGAGGACCTTAGCCAATCATAGAATCCTTTTGCCAGATTCAGTCTACAAGTTGATTGTTTTTGCACGCCCGTTGTCTGAAGACGAGCTGGAGAACCAGTCTCGAAAATTCACACAAGAAAGTTTGTTTTTTTCCCGAAGAACTTCATCTTTCTAATTATATTTACTAGCATGCCTGTTTGTCAATTTATACGCATGTATACACATGTATTACATGAGCAGCTCGCTAAGAGCGCAACAGGCCAGACGCAGACAGCTTTTCACGGTCATTACTGATTATCAGTACGTCATAGGCCTTGTGAAGTGAGGTAGGTTAGCATATAAAGCGGGTGTTTGGCCCTTACTTGACACGCTTATATAATTCACTTCATTAGAACAATGAAATACTGATGATCGGTAACCACCGTAAAACAGTTGTCTGCGTCTGGCCTGTTGCACTCTTAACTAGCTGCTCATACATTATATGTGGTATTTGTCCCATGACACAGCGTTAGTTGTCGCCAATAGCAAACTTGCGGGCGAAATGGGATCGAGTGAGGTCTTAACCACAATAGTGATGTTCAAACGCCCATTTGACATTTAAATATATATATATATATATATATATATATATAATGTTAGGGGGCGCTCACCGATCGCTCATACGAAACTCAATCGTTGGGCGGGCGGCTGGTCACTGATGCGGGATGAGGTCGGGGGGCAATGCGCCGGCGTTGGAGGTGTTAAGGGGGTTTAGGTTGTTTTTCACCGTGTCGCAAGGGGGAGCGGAAAGGCGAAACAGCATACGTCTAAGTGGCCGACTGGCGGTTAGCAAATGTTGAGGTGTGGGAACAAGAAAGTGAGCGTGTACGTAAGCCCTCGTAATGAGCGTCTAGATCGACGTGGCGGTTGATGCTGGTCGTGCCAGAATGCCAAGCTTCGAGGAATTCTCGCGCCTGTCTGGTGTTAGCCTTTGCGATCACTTCAGTGTCATCCCAATTGAAGCGGTGATCATGCTCAATGGCGTGCGCAAACACGAGGGACAGAGGGTCACGTCGGCGGAGGGCTAACTCGTGTTCGTTAATGCGAGTCCCAAGACATCGGCCTGTATGGCCAATATAAACACAAGGGCAGTTGGCGCACGGTGTGCGGTAGATGACGTTAGTTAATTGTTCTTTGGGCACTGGGTCCTTTACTCGGCATAATGTCTCGCGTAGGGAAGATGCGGGCTTATGGGCAATGGAGATGCCAAAGCGTTTTAGTTGCCGGGAGAGTGCTTCAGAGATTCCCTGAATGTACGGCAGTGAATAAAATTTCTGCGACGCTCTATCTTCATGAGACTCGGGGTTTGGTAGTTGTCTCTGGCGTCTGAGACAGTTCTGTACGAAACTGGCAGGATATCCGTTGGAGCCGAACAACCGAAGCAAGTAGGCCAATTCTTTCTTAAGTGAGTCATCACTGTTGCAGATGCGATAGGCCCGATGGAAAAGAGTGTGGACACAGCTTCGTTTATGGGCCGCAGAATGATTGCTCTCATAGTTAAGTATGATTTCGGCACTAAAGTCTTTTCTGTGGACGCTTGTCGCTAGTTTGCCACCATTGAGTCCTTGTATGCTCACATCTAAGAACGGGAGGGTATCTACTGTTGCTTCCTCGCGGGTGAACTGTATAGCCGGGAAGACGCTATTTAAGCTCTGATGCAATCGCTCAACTTCCCTGGTCTTTATGATGACAAATGTGTCGTCCACGTAGCAGAGCCACATTTTTGGTTCGAAGGTGTGCACAACATCCTGTTCTAGTCGCTGCAAGACTAGTTCTGCAAGCAGCCCCGATATTGGGGAGCCAATTGGGGTGCCCTTTACTTGTTGATAGTACTTGCCATCGAACTGACAATAATTCTTGAGGCAAAGTTTAAGCATGTCTAGAGCATTTTCTGTTGGAATGCCAATGGGACTTTGCTCTAGACATCGGACTACGCTGTCAATCGCTAGGTCGTGTGGTATTGAAGAAAATAGGGCAACAACATCGAACGATAGGATGCATTCGTCAGGACTTACTTCAAGGCCTTGGATCTTTTGTACGAAAGCCTGAGAGTTTTTGATGCTGTATTGCGATCGATTTGCGAGGTGCTGTATAACCACTTGGCAAGGTTGTAAGTAAGGGATCCAATAAGTGGCACAATGATCCTCAGCGGCGCATCTGTCTTGTGCACCTTCGGAAGGCCGTACGCACGTGCGATACGGGGGTCATTGAGGGTCATAGATCTGCTGTCATCGGGGCTTATGAGCTTCAATCGGGCAAGCTCATTCACTTTCTTCTTGATAGTCGCGGCTTGCTTTTTCGTTGGGTCTGCAGCCAGTGGTGCATAGGATTCCCTGTCATCGAAGATTTGGTTTGCCTTGTTGACGTAGTCAACCTTATCCATGATAACGGTTGCTCCTCCTTTGTCAGCAGACATAATAACTATTTTGTCATCTGTCTTTAGCGATCGCAACGCCTTTTTCTCTTCGGTCGGTAGGGTTTGATGATGTTTCCTTTGTCGGAGGAGACCAGTGGCGCAACTGCGAATGTCCGCACACATGTCATCAGGGAGGTCGGAGGTCAGAAGGAGGGATTCAAGGTTGGCTAGGAAGTCCGTAGGTGCAGTATCGGTGTGACTGTATCTTATCCCCTTAGACAGGAGGCTGATTTCAGTGGAAGATAGGTCCCTGTTCTAAAGATTAACAACCTTCGTAGACATTCGGTTCTCGCTGGCCGTGCACAAAAGAGATTGTAATTTCTTGTGCAGGTCGGCCCGCTTCTTCATTCTGGCTTCTTTGGTGGTGGCGTTTATTCGGCGAAGTATTTCTAAAATGACGTTCTCCGGTAAGCATGAGACGCAGCGGCTTCTAAGGTCAGAAATTGTTGCTTAAAAGCGGCAAAGACGATGGTGGACGTCAGATATAACGGCACTCAAGACACGAAATCCATACTTGCGCGCAAGTTGTCTTCCGGTCTTATTGGGTAGGGTGGGCTTGAATTGGAGGGACTTAAGTAGGACACCATGATCGCGACAGCGGTGGAGAAAAGTTAACTGTTCGTAAGTCGTCGCCTGCCCCTGTGCAAATTTCTCCCAACGTCTGGTAATGATAAGCGTTTGACGCCCAGAAATATGATGAATAACTGATGTGGTGTGCATTCCGAGGTGACATAATGAGAAAGTGAAGGCTCTTCGGGATACTGAGTTGTACTCGTAAATTTTCAAGTCGGTGACACCGACCCGTCGTCAGACGAAATGAACAGAGGGAAAGTGAAGTCGGCAGACTAGGTCGGTTGGCGCGACAGGACAGACAACGACAAACAGACAGCTGATGGGTGAGAGGGGTGGGCACCTAGTTGTGGTACGCCGTGGGACAGGGGAAGGGGAGGAAGAACAGTTAGGGCTCCCAGTGTGGGAGGCGGTGAAAACGTGGGGAGGGGGGAGGGGGGGGTGGGGATTGCGAGTCAGTGGGAATGCGGGCGGCTGGTCAATTATGCGGGCGGCTGGTCACTGATGCGGGATGAGGTCGGGGGGCAATGCGCCGGCGTTGGAGGTGTTAAGGGAGTTTAGGTTGTTGTTCACCTTGTCGCAAGGGGGAGCGGAAAGGCGAAACAGCATACGTCTATGTGGCCGACTGGCGGTTAGCAAATGTTGAGGTGTGGGAACAAGACAGTGAGCGTGTACGTAAGCCCTCGTAATGAGCGTCTAGATCGACGTGGCGGTTGATGCTGGTCGTGCCAGAATGCCAAGCTTCGAGGTTGTTCGGCTCCAACGGATATCCTGCCAGTTTCGTACAGAACTGTCTCAGACGCCAGAGACAACTACCAAACCCCGAGTCTCATGAAGATAGAGCGTCGCAGAAATTTTATTCACTGCCGTACATTCAGGGAATCTCTGAAGCACTCTCCCGGCAACTAAAACGCTTTGGCATCTCCATTGCCCATAAGCCCGCATCTTCCCTACGCGAGACATTATGCCGAGTAAAGGACCCAGTGCCCAAAGAACAATTAACTAACGTCATCTACCGCACACCGTGCGCCAACTGCCCTTGTGTTTATATTGGCCATACAGGCCGATGTCTTGGGACTCGCATTAACGAACACGAGTTAGCCCTCCGCCGACGTGACCCTCTGTCCCTCGTGTTTGCGCACGCCATTGAGCATGATCACCGCTTCAATTGGGATGACACTGAAGTGATCGCAAAGGCTAACACCAGACAGGCGCGAGAATTCCTCGAAGCTTGGCATTCTGGCACGAGCAGCCGGACCAGGCCGAAGTCGGCCAAGTCATAATAACAGCGAGGCAGAATAAGCCAGAAACAGTGCTGTATCAATCTACCCGCATTCTCTGTCGTCCCTCCTCGCTGCTATTATGACTTGGCCGACTTCGGCCTGGTAATTGGTTGCCTGTTCGTGACCTTTGCCACACATACGGAGCTTGTTTTCTTTGTGAAGCCAATAGATCGGTGTGCGCCCATTCCTGATTGATAAATACCCGATCGGCAGCGACAGAGAATGACAGGTGGCGAGGCACTGATAAACTTCGTTTCGATGAAGTGCTTATGACCCATCTGGTAGGCCTCAGTGGTGGACCGACTGCGCCAGGTGCGTCTGTGCGCATGTTTGTGTTTCTGGTCGCAGCTGCTGGTGGTCAGGGTTATGATTGGCTGAATGAAGGCAGAATAAGCCCGAAACAGTGCTGTATCAATCTACCCACATTCTCTGTCATCCCTCCTCGCTGATATATATACATATATATAGGCAGAATAGCATTACCGACAAAGACGAGGGAGACTGGAATGGCCATTTCTGGCTTATTAGCCGTCGTCAGCCAGCCATACCGGTAATGCTATTCTGCCTCTATATCATGCGTCGCTGTGCGGCTGCTGGTTGGACTCAAGAGAGCGCCCTTAATGCACAACGGAACGAGTGAGTTCCGTATGAACGATCGATGAGCGTCCCCTAACATTATATATATATATATATATATATATATATATATATATAGACACCGACACGTAATACCTAAAGAGTTAATAATAGTCGTGCATTTTAGAGGCTGTTTTTGAAACAACCGCATGCATTACATCAACCGGAAGAAATACTGTTTAAATATTTGCACGAAAGTATTCATGCGTTAAACCTATTTGGTTTTCTGCTAAATTCCACGGAAGGGTATATTGCGTTTAGCTGGTAATAACTTCCGGTCTCATCGAATACCTCCGAGCATACAGTTCGTGAGAAGTCCATCTGGTATATTTTGAACGTCGGAAAGCGTTCTGATCTGCTCTTGATTATGCCTAAGAATTAACCGAGTTAAAACGGTTTGTGTTAAATGCGGTCCTTAGTGTCTTCACATTTGGACTTTTTCCTCGACTAACAGCGGTATGGCTGGCAAGAGTGACAACACGTAAACAATTACAACGATGCTGTGGAAATGAAGGTACTCCAAAGAAGGGATAAAAAGATGGCTTAAGAGAATCAGAGAAAACTCCCGCAGACATTAACGAGAAATAATTTATTGCGTGCTTAATTTGCTAGAGAGGTTGCGCCTAGGAAATTGCATGTGCCAGCACTTTTTACAGAATGCTGCGTTGTAATTTTTTTAAAGCTAAAATCGCATTTTGCATCGAAAATATATATCCGCGTTTTTCACGTCACCAGTTCCAAGCATAATATTTTTATCATCGTTACCACGATTGTAGGTCTAAAGTGGTTCGCAGTAAGCCGTAACGACGTCTAAGAGAATCTTCTATATGCCCTTGTTTTCACGCTCTTTACCCCCGTTAAATGCTATCTAGAGACTGTAAATGAAAGCAGTAATGCACGTAACCCAAAGACGGTTTATACTGATAGTCATTAACTGTACTCATGAAATGCCAGTCAAAAATGTCAAACTCGTTTTCGATTAAAAAGGATAACTTAAGTGTGTTTGTTAAAATTATTACCGTGCTGCTGAATGCTGAGGTAATTTAGTCACATAAATTTTCTAGCTTTTGAAAACACATCTTCTGTCCTTCTTTAAAAGTTGCATTTTGTAAAGGATTATTTTCTTAGTTAGTTTATTTGAAGTTTTTGATTTTCAATGCAAATTATTCAGTTTTCTTCAAAACGGGATCTCCATAGAAAGGTCTCTTCCAGAAACAAAATATAAATAATAACATTCCATTAGAAAATGAAGTGCTCCTACAATAGAGTACTTGCAGAGTTGCGTTTGTAAGAGAGAAAATGATTGCTGATGAATTGTAGTCTTGTATTGGTGGCCTTTCTAAAAACGGTAGTTTTCAGCTACCAGGTTGCACACCGACGCAAAAAGGACATCGAGGAATGGGAGTTGGTCATTAGTTTCAGTTTTCATCGTGAACTACATATTCGGGTCAACCGAGTTCAGCAATTCTTGAAGGTGCCCCACATCCAATGATTTGAAAATAACGAAAATGTCATCAGTGTAACGAGTTCAAAACTTTGATTGGCACCTGGTGAACATCACATGTTATAACCGTTGAAGGATCATTTCGGCAATCAGTCCTGCCATGGGAGAGTATGAATCGGTGCGTTTATTTTCTGGCCGTTGTTTGATAATGTTGGCGACCTCTTGAATTGATTGCCTTTACCTCAATGGGTGTCGGTTGCACCTGTCTTCCCCTTTCGAGTGAGTTGGTCGACGGGCCGTGCCTGCTCGGTACTTATAATCTTAATGTGACCGTCTTGTCATGGTCATAGCGCATGCAGTGACGTAGGGCTTTATAGACTGCAGGAAAATCCATATGTCCATTGATGGAGTCTGCATCTGAGCGCCAAGCCTCAAGTGTGAGATTTTCTGCCCTGAGCTGCTGGAGCTTTAAACAGTTTTTCCTTAGATGTCAAAACTGTAGCCAGTTTCTTTGATGTGGGAGGCAAATTGTGAGTTTGGGTCTAGTTTCCAAGTTGCCAGTTTGTGCTCAGGTAGGTAAGTCTGTTATTGTCGTACGGTTTCTCCCAACTTAATTGCAGTCTCCATTTTTACAAATGCTGAGGGTTCAGAGGGTAGCAATGCGTCTTTGGGTTGCATCATCCAGCGAAAAGTTTTTGCCTGGGGTAGATGGGCAATGCTTAATCTGGCGGATTGTAACTGTCGGTAAACCGTCTCAGGTACTACAGGCATCGCGTTAATGTTTTTGTGGCTGTATTTTGTTCATGAGACGCATACTCTGCTTGACAAAATAGATTGGGTATCCATTGGCCAAAAAGAGATCACGAAGGTATTGACTCTTGATGTGCTGCAGTGTGTTTCAACTCTTTGCAATAGAGTACTCGCAGAGTTGCGTTTGTAAGAGAGAGGATGATTGCTGATGAATTGTAGTCTTGTGTTGGTGGCCTTTCTAAAAACGGTAGTTTTCAGCTACCAAGTTGCACACCGACGCAAAA